CGGGAGTTGAAGTCCACTCATCTTAAAGTGGCCAAATTTGGACAACACTGTTCTAGAGGAACTGCTTACCACCAAAGGTATTTTTTCCCTTTTTTGATGGTTCTCAACTATAAAACATTAGAAGCCTAGCATCCAGTCGAGATACGGTCCATCTAATTATTCTTGCCTACTATTTATTACTACTGTACATTTGCACTCCGCAGTTTGATATGAATAGAAGAAAGTCGGGCTTGAGGCCAAAAGTGTTTGCTATGTACAGATGTAAACAAATATAGGAAAGGAAGAAAAATGAAGGGGATGGATGTAAGTTTATGGATAAAGGTTTGGTGGTGGTTTAAGCCAAAGTGTTCATGAATACATTCTGAGAAGGATCTGAGGGAGAAAAGTGGAACCACAAAAATCTAGCTTTCAATGGCTTTCAAGGGAGAGTGGTCATTTTTTTTAATGTGCCTTTAAGTAAAGATTGAGTGATATCCAGGCAGGCAAGTGACAAGTGACTTAGTAAGACATCCTGCTCCAAAAGGCCAAACAGGTCATGTTATTCAAGTTCATCCAACTTCCTAACTAGAGGTCTTCAAGTAGGAAGACAGTGACTCGAGGCATGAAAATGATGAAAGCCAAAATAATTTGTTGTTAAGGATATACTGTTAAATTAAAAACGGTTCCTGATCAGTCAGCTGATTTTTTTTTAAAATCAAATTATTTTAAAACAAATGCTCAGGATGGAGCGTCCCCATCAGAGATGGCAAACATCAGCATCAACCTTGTGTGACTTTATGCATCAGAGAAGAATTTGCCCTTCAGAACTAGAGCTTTTATCAGAAGCAAATTGTGCCAAGTGAGCTAACATGAAGTCTTATATGTATCAATTCAGAATTAAGACTCTTGGGTTCAATATGACATACAATCTTTTTTTTGGCGGGGCGGGGAGGAGTGCCTTCAAGTCAGTGTTGACTCCTGGCAACTGCCTGGACTAGTCCTTGCAGTTTTTTAACCAGGTTTTTAGAAGTGGTTTGCCATCGCTGCCTCCCTAGGACTGAGAGAGACTGACTGGCCCAAGGTCACAAAGCTGGACTAGAACTCAGTTTCCTTCTAGCCCGGCACCTTAACCACTACACCAAGCTGTCCCTCATACATCTATACAACATAGATATATAAGGGATTGCTCTTAATAGCAATCCAGACCGAACACAGACCAAATCTGTCCATCAAACTAAGCCATAATTGTTTAAAAAGTAAACTCATCCATTGTGGTTTAATCATGGTCTGTGTGAATTCAGACATTGTGATGTGCAGCCAGTAATGATGCAAACAAACCATGGTTTTATGCAACCTTTAAATCCAGCCACAGCCTGCAGAGAGGTAAATTCAACTGATTTCAGCAGGGCTTAAATAAATTCGCAATGAATTGCAATTTATAATTTGTTATTTTTATTATTTCTCATCTAATGCAGGGAGAGCTTATCCACAGGATTCTCTGTTAATTTTAATTGGTAAAGAGGAAGCCAGGAGCAGAAATTCCTTTTCCAATTGACTGTCAAGCAGAGGGGGAGAAATGTCATATTGTTCCCCACTTAAAAGCACAGTACTATAGTTTGGACACGTTTCTGGGCACCTGCATTTCTCCATTTAGTTGTCCATGTAAAGCAACATTGTTTTGATGTTTCTGTGTTTTTGGACAATGTTATGAAAAGTCAGCATATACAAGCCAGACTTTTAAAGCTTCTGTATTATGTGACATACGTTTGCACTGATAATGGGGTGATATCTGTGGTTCCATTTTCTTTTCATTTTGCAAGCTCTGCATGCATCTGTGTGTGTGTGTGTGTGTGTGTGTGTGTATATATATAAATGAAAAATGTAACTAAATAGGTCCACCCTTTAAGGATCACCGTCTTAATTGCTCAAAAAGTTTCTTAGACCTCCAAAGTTCTAAATGTTATGTGAAAGGATCCTACCTACATCACTTACAGAGGGGGAAGGATACAGAAAACAGAAAAACACAAAATGTTACTGGAAAGATGTCTTCATATTTAAAGACAAAAAACAGGAGGAAATGATCATTAATTCCCACCCCAAGAAACAGATATTAAGTAGGGCTGATTTTACCAAGTGACCTGATTATGCTAAACAGGAAGCAATTAAAGGCTGAACTGGCAAAGGAGGTATTTCCATATACAATTGGATAGGAACTTTGCTAAAGAGCATTTATTTTTTAATAAATATTATAGATGGGTCTTGGCAAAGGAGCAAGGCGTTGCCAGAAATTCTGTCTGGAATTTCTATTTTAATTCTGTCCTCAGCAAATTATGGGAATACTACCACTTGGCAGTTTTAAAAGAGTCCCAAGAAAGAAAGCAAAGATAATGAGATGAAGTTGTCCATCTTCGGTTTTGGCTTTTAAATACAAGGTTTACTCCTTCTCAGGTTCTTTAAATGAAGTAAAACATAAAGCTCATGTGCAAGTTTTCTCTTGAAAATGTTAAACTAAATATTGGGTGGATGGATGGACAAAATCCCATTTTTCTTCTCATTCTTCCGTGAAATGGCAAAATACTCTGGCATTGATCTTCCTACTTGGCACCTTTTTCTTTCCCCAAGATTTCCCAATTAACTATGTCAGGGGGGCCTTCTGGGTAACAAATGGTTGCAGAGGAAACCATCTTCAATGGTGAATTTTGGCTCCAACTTTACCCTGTCCCTAGGACTCTCTAAAATGGACGATCCTAATTTTGCCATTTGCAAAATGTAGACATTGCAGCTGGAGTTTACACTGTAGACCCAGAAGAAAAGACAAGATTATCTTCCTCAAAGTCCATCCATTTGTTTTTTTGAAGTGCAGGGCATTACCACAACTATTCTGTGTGAATGGCTGTTGTTCATCCATTGTTGTTGATGACGACCTCAACACCATTAGTCATGTTAAAACTAAACGTCGTGTGTCCGAAGATGACTGGTCAGGCCAGTTAGGCAAATGTGTAGACACTGCAGTTGTTGCACTGATGGCTCTAGACTTGCGCAGATCACACTTATGTTGTGCTTCCTCAGTGTGCCTTACTTCATAAGCTTGACAGCTCTTATGGATGAGGCCACGCCAGGTAGAGCAATTTTGTGCCAGTGTTTCCCAGGTGGTCGTGTCTATGTCAAGCAACTTCAGGGGCCCTTAATGTAGCTTTGTAATGTTTCTTTTGTCCTCCATGCGCGTGTTTTCCAGCAGAGAGTTCCCCAAAAAAGAGTTGCTTGAGTATGTGCTTGTCTGGGATACGGATGACATGACCTGCCCACTGGATCTGTGCTTGCATCAGCAGTGTGTGGATTGATGGTAGACTTGCTCTAGAGAGAACTTCAGTGTCTGGTACTTTATCCATCTGATGCCAAATATTCTACGAAGACAAGTCATATGGAAATGGTTAAGCTGTTTTGCATGCCTTTGATATACAGTACATGTTTCGTTGGCTTCCGGAAGACTGTAGATCTGTAGGCTTTCAATTTTGTAGCTGGACTAATTCCTCCCTGTTCCCACACAGTAGAGCGCAGTCTACCGAAAGCAGAACTTGCCTTTGCTGTTCTGTAGTTAATTTCTGTATCAATGGTCACTACTCAGGAGAG